CAGTCATTGATGTTCAAAAGAAAGACAACATTATTTTGAGTTTTATCAGCAGAGATTTACATCCAAAATCGTAAGTAAAGGACAAGTGAAGTGTATGCATGAATGTAATCAATGTTAGTTTTCTCAAATCTTAAACAATATGTAGTATAACTGTCCAATGATTTTTCAATATGAACATAATAGCCCAACATAATACTTTTAAGAAAGCCATCACAATAATCAAATAGAGAAGGATTTATTAATTACGTTTCGTCTTTAACTTAAGACATCTTCAGATTAATTGTATTAATATATATACACGAGGTTTTAAATACAAGCATATAGTATGGGGTGTTAAATTACATGTGAGAGGAGTAGGAAATTTAGATGGTGGAATAAGTGAGGATGGCGGTATATTAAAGAAGGTGAAGGGGGATTGAGTTGCCTTGGGTGTTAAGAGAGGGTTTAAGTTTGGATATAAGAAGGCTTTCATGAATCATAAGGTCATAATTGTCGGAGGAGGAAGAGAGAATTGAGAAATCATTAAAATCGGCAAGGTGAGATGTATTTCTTATATGAGAAAGAACTGCAGATGGTGGTGGACATAAGGAAGGCTTCCCTGTTAAGGGAGAGATTCCCAAGTGTTCTGATATTCTGGTGTGTAAATGACGCGTGGTTTGACCCACATACGATGCAGAGCAGCATCGACACTTAAATGAGTATACAACACCAGATCTCAGGAGCTTGGGAACCCTATCCTTAAAAGGAAAGAAAGAGGAGAGACGCCTGGAAGAACGAAAAAACAAAGCGAACGTTGATATGAGGAAAGGCAGCATTGCAGAGTCGAGTGATTTGAGTGCGAATCTGAAGACAGTGTAGGCCAGTGAAAGGGAGACAGAAGTACATGATTTTCTTAGGAGCAGTGTGAATAAGATCTTTGGGTTCAATTGTATTGTTGAGGAAGCGGCGAACATGATTGTCAAATATGTATGAAGGGAAGTTGTTTAAGGTGAACAATTTTCTAACGACTTCTAGTTCGGTATGAAAGTGCTCATAGCTGGAACAGAGGTTGAAAATTCTGTGAAGTAAAGAGGAGATCAAGGAGCGTTTGTATTGAATGGGAATGAAACTATGGAAATTGGTGAAGAGACCAGTGAAAGTGGGTTTACGATACATGGAGGTGGAAAACTTGCCGTTTGAGCGAGTTATTTTTACGTCAAGAAAGGGGAGCGTGTTGTCTTTTTCCAGTTCAGATGTAAAGGAGATGTTAGGATGTTGGTGGTTGAGATAGGTAAGGAAAAGAGGTATGTGATCCAATGATCGGAAGAGTAGAAAGCAATCATCAACGTAACGTTGGTAAAGAAGGGGTTTGAAGGTGGAGGGACAGTTGTGAAGCCATGAATTTTCATTGAAGGCCATAAATATGTTCGCAAATAGTGGGCCTAGGGGGCTGCCCATAGCCACACCATCAATCTGTTGATAAACTTGGCCGTTAAAGAAGAAATGACAGTTTTTGACGGAGAGGGAGAGAAGTTGAGTGAATTGTGAACGGTCAAGGCCTTGAAAGGACGGCTAAAAGTCCTTCGGTCAAGGCCTTGAAGGCTAAAAGTCCTTCGTCAACAACAATTTTAGAAGCATCGATCTGCTTACCATACGCCATATTGACATAAATCGCATCACACACTCGCATCATAAACAAATGTTTGGGGTTTTTCATTTTATGATCATTGATCATTCAATCATTGGACAGTTATACTACATATTGTTTAAGATTTGAGAAAACTAACATTGATTACATGAGAAGCTGTTTACTATAACCTGTGACTTTGAGTCTTCTGATCCATGAAGCTTTTTATTTTGACAATTTGACTGGAATGGTATTAAACCTGAGTATTTCACATACATGGAATGTTGTCCCATGTCACATATTGTCCCCTTTTCTAACTGAACACCTCATGTAGAGATGTAAAGGTGTGTTAATCTACGGCTCATACCAGATTGTTTGCCATAAATTCCAAAGGGCTATTGATGTATGAAAAGTATTTTCTATGAAGTAAAAATGCCCTCCTATGTATGCAGATAAACCTTGAAATTTGGCAAAACAGCAAAGTATTTTTCATGATCACTAGGTAAGTTTTTTGATGATCATTATAATTTCTAAACTAAATTATTTCAGATTTACATTTAAACGAGCTTTGATCATATGAAAATATATTTATCATAACCAGTAAGCATGACACATGAACCAATTTTAACATTCATGTAATTATATAATTAAAGACATGTTGGTTACATTCTGTTTGTATTTGCAAATACAATGCTACTAGTGATTGCTATATAGCACACCTTGCATATACTTACAGGAGATAATAGTCTAGTGAAATGCCTAATAACCATTTATGGCATTAAGCTGTCCTTAACTGCAAATTTTCACTCTGATAATTTTTGCTTAACCTTTGGCAGAAAAAAATTTTGAGTTTTTTCTCAAAAGGTGAATTTGCTGGCACTGATGTGGAGATGGGTAAAGGGTTACAATAAACTTGCATGGTTTGAAGTCTGAGCTTTTCTATATCTATGAACTGTCACTTGTAGTACCAAATTTCTAACTTAACTAAACTCATTATATAGAGGTTTGAATGGGGGTCTCTAGGGGGGTCTTTGCCTGACAACTTGGTAGAAATTTTTAAAGACTATATCTGTTTTTGAATAGCATTATTGTAAAATAAATTTTACGTTCCTAGACATGCTAATGAGCCATATATTTGGCATGATAATGAGCCTAAATATTTGGCAAAACATTCAAGTATTGTTCACTTCATATTTTTTTTTTGAAAAAAACGTAAGCAAAATGTGTTGTTTTTACGCAAAAACGATGCCCACAAATACATTTTGTATTGCTCTAAAACGCTGAAAATGGCATTTTCAAGGCTCTGAAATTCAAAATTTCTCAGGGGAGAATGCCTCAGACCCCCCAGGTGCAGAGCGCCTTCGACGTTTTATGACTGATGTTTGAAAAATCCTAGGTCCGCCCCTGCTATGATATACTTTTTTGTATAGACTAAAGAGTTTAATCGATCAAACAAGTTTGACGCTGGTAAGAAAACGACGCACATCTGCATTCATACATGTGTAGCCGACATATAGGTCTTTCGTCGATAGTTATAAATGCATCCTCGTAGAAGCAGATAAACTGGCAACCACAGTTGACTCGCTGTTATGAATTTAAGGTTTTTACCTTGATTTTCATCAAAAAATTGCTTGCCGAATCCCAAATACACACATACATTTTCCTCACTCTTTCCTCAGGAGGGAGTGGGAAATTGTGAAATTTTCGGAAAAGCGGTCAATTTCGGTAAATCTCAGCGGCAAAGGACGAAATCCGCCATTTTTTTGGCGTCGTCAGATATCTAAGGCCGCGTTGAGATAGCCGCTCCAGTAATTATAGAACTCAATGCTATCAGCCAGTACTTTTTAGCACTAAAATACGGCTATTAGCCATATGCTTAAGACGAAGCGGGTGTACTTTTCTATTTATTTGTATTACAGGATCTCAGTTTTTGCAATATTTTGCCTTTTAATCGTTTCTGTAGGAGTCAATTTTCTTCATACAACTACAGAAAGATAGGAAGAATATGAAACTTGATTCGCAAGGTTAAAGGAGTGAACAACCCTACAATACACAAGCTTGTTCTAAATAAGACGACGGATTTTTGTCTCAAAATTGATTTGAAATGTAGAATTTATCATCGTAGAGGAATTTAGGGTAAAAATTACGTTCAGTCAACCATTTGTATTCTTATCAGAAGCAAAAATGACAACTTTAATTTGGTAAGTCTTTAAAACTATATAATATAACTCATATAAGACTACTTGGTCTGTTTGTGGGTTCTATATGTTATTAAATTATTTCTTGTTAATAAGAACGAGTTTGTGTAATCTTGGTCAATGTTTTACTCGACATTTTTGAGGGATATGAACAATGTCTCGAACAAATGCTGCCCATATGATTTGGGAAAACATGTTCTTTTCAACCAACTGAGCCAAAAAAACTATTTATACAGAAAAACATAATGGGATGTTTTGAGTATGTTTTGTGAGCACTGGTTTACTAATAAGTAAATTTGGCAAAAAAAAACAACTCCTAAACTGCTGCATTATTTTGTATTTGTGGAGTAACTGAACAAGTCTATTATATCATGTAGTTTTAAAGACATGCCCAATTGAAAGCTTATCTTTGATTTAATCTAGTTTAATTTAAAATCTTTTTACAAATGGCCAACATCATACAATGATGCTTTTCAGCTAGGCTTTTTAGCAATAATGAAATCTATATATGATAAGAATTCCCAATTGCTATTGTTCATTGAAAATACTTCCTTCTCAGTAGTCTTTACTTATCAGGAAGCATATTCCAATTTCCTATATAGCTATTGAAATATTTCTGTTGCTTCTTATTTAAATTTGATTTAAGAGTATTTATTAAATTTTAACATCTAGTCATACAAGTATTATAATCATAAAAGTGTTTTGGTCTTGAAATAAGTAACAAATTTTTCTAGTGTATATCCTATTGTGCCGCTAACACAGAGGAAAGTACAACCAGGTCAGGTACCAATTTGGGTGCCTGGTCTTGCAGGATTTGAAAAGAACTATTAGAACTTTTATGGTTCATGTATATTTCTCCACACCAGAGTGATCAGACAACCAAGTCCAAATGTATTCGATAGCAGCTTTTGCTTCTGATAAGAATGTAGATGGTTGACAAACATAATTTCTAAACTACTTTAGTCTAGGATCATTATATCTTTACTTCGCATCGATTTTCAGTGAAGAATCATACGCCTTATTCTGAAAAAGCTCGAATATAATATCAAAATTGTTCACTCCTTCAAATTTGCGAATCAATTTTCACAGCGTTACGAAGTCGTAATAACCGCAAATTTTCTTCAAAAGTATTTTTCTTATCTTTCTATAGTTGTGATAAGAAAATTGCCTGGATCAGAAGCGCGTAAAAGGCAAAATATTGCAAAAACTGTGATTCTGTGATACAAATCTATAGAAAAGTGGGTCCCCAACTTTGATTCGGGCAGATTTATTTCCGGCTTCAATTTTAGCAATTAGTTGCGTTATCCAGTCTATTTCAGATCAGTGGTCAATGGTCATTTATAAATTGACCGTTTAATAAGACCCCTCAATGGAGCATGGAGGTTGTGCGAGATTTCTGGTTAGCTCGTAATAAGATGTGTGCATTAGTTGAAATTAATAAATTTTTGCAAAGAAAGGACAAAGACTCTTTGCCAATAGATGCCAATTGTTCCTTGCTGTTTGCTAAAATCTTCTACGAAAATGGAGACTTGGTACGTTGTGAGGAATTATTAAAAAGAGGTAGATATACGACAGACTTTGTCCACTTAAGAAACTGTTTTTACTCTTTAAGACAAATTCTAGTAATAGGAAGTATTGACGATAGATGAAATGAATTCCTTCTTTTTCCGGGTCCCCAGCTGTATGCCTGCCTGGGGAATGCTGTGAGACTTTAGATTAGTAAGCGTGTTCTTTGCCATTTTCGAACCTTAAATTTCTTTAATGTGAACATTTCTGTTGTAAAGAATAAACTGTGCAGTGTAGTCATTGAAGCATCATACTATCATAGACCAATTTCATTTAACAGACATGGCTCAAAATCTGGTTTGGAAAAGCTTATTTAGTTGGTTATAGGATAAATCCCCCTGTTAAAATTTTGCAAGTCAGTTGTACTTGTAGAATTGACTTGTAACAGATTGTGTACCATGTTTACTATTGCAAGAACAGTATTGCACTCGGATAAGTTTATCATGATACATTAGTGGCACAGTCACGTTTAGCGGATTTAGGGTAAGCCAAAATAAATTACTGCAGCTTATTACATATACCAAATATATTCACATTTCCTACTATGTTTGAGGTACTTCCATTGGTAAAATTTGATATTTTAGATGGAAATTCAAAACTAATAGGGTTGTTCTTAAAGAACTTTTTTATATATTGCACTGGATTAACCGCTGGCACTGTGAGTTGTCATTAAAAATAATATAGGGTGTATTTATTGTCTTTTATTCTCTTATTATTCTTTATATAAATCAGCTCCCAAGCTATAATCCATCAAGTTACATTATATTTAAAAAGATTCATATTAATTTGAATGTATGAATAATAAATCCATTAATTTTAAAAGGTTCAACATTTATTTTAAAGACCTTTGAACTTGATTATTTTAACTGTTTTGAATAGTATGAAAAATTTCAGGGAGTAAAACAAGCTTGAAAACTTTTAACTGAACAAGCCAAACTTTTGAAAGTACCATTGATAACATCTTGTTTACTAACACTTTTTCTTTCTGTTTGTATAAACCATTATAAAAAGCTGTGTATATTTAATTTAAGCACAATGCCTTTATAGTTCATTTAAATCATTCATAAAATGCTTAAACGTACTGTGATCATTAATAACTGAGCGTAGCATTAGTAAAAAGTATTGCAGGATTTCTTTAAGATCATCAAATTAAATAGTGACATGTCAAAAATATATAGATGAGCAACATTCATTAAACTTAACGAGTAAAGTAATGACGTTAGTGTGATAAAATAGCCTGGATTTTAGTATAAATATCTTGGGAAGTGTGAGATATATGGAGAGTAGAGGTCAGATTGTTAGCCTTCTTAGGGGATGTATGGCTCAGCAGCATTAACCTATAATAACGTGTTTGATACTCAAACACAGTTTGCGATTGAATGGTTTTTCCATTAGTTATTAGCCACAATAAAATTGTTTGAAGTTAGAGACTTCACAGTTTGTTGCATGTTTTTGGCAAGGCATGAAAATAATTTTCAATTTTTAAAGTACATTGATTTTGCAGGGAAATGCAAAGTACCAATCCCTTACCTCTCACCCCTCACCAAGTGATCCCTTACCTCTCACTCCTCACCAAGTGATCCCTTACCTGTCACTTCTCACCAAGTCGTCTCTTACCTCTCACTGCTTACCAAGTGATCCCTTACCTCTCACTCCTCACCAAGTGATCCCTTACCTATCACTCCTCACCTGTACCTCTCACTCACCAGACCACCACCTTATCCTCTCACTCCTCACCTGATCCCTTCTCTCATATCCACCTCTCATCCTCACCAGTGTCTCACTTCCACCATTCCACTCACCAACCTCTCACCTCACTTGTCTTCACCTCACCAACCCTCACTCCCCAGTGATCCCTTACCTCTCACTCCTCACCAAGTGATCCCTTACATAGCACTTGTCACCTGAATGACCTGATGATTCCTTCCCTCTCATTCCTTACCAAGTGATCCCTTACCTATTACTCTTGAACAAGTTATCGTTAACCTTTCACTCCTTACTAAGTGATCCGTTCTCTCTCAATCCTCACCAAGTCATCCCTCCTCTCTCACCCTCACCAAGTCATCCCTCCTCTCTCACTCCTCACCAAGTCATCCCTCACATATCACCAAGTGATCTCTCACTCCTCATGATAATAAACAGTACTTGAAACTTTTGTAAAAAGTGCACAGTATGTTAAGTGAGATTTACTTTGAGCATTTACGTAGCCATGGAATTTCTATAAAAATCAAATACTATGTGCAGTCATTATAATGAAAGAGGCTATTAGCTGGGTTTATTAGTTTTTGGTCATGTTTCAACAGTTGCTCTCACATTGTGTATATGTGAAAAGCAGGATATTTAATTTTTACCTTCGTAAGTAGCAAAGAAGTTTAAAATACGCGTTTCTTTTCAAAGCTTGCTGAATCGATGATGTTTGAATTCTTTAGTTGAGTTTGAAGCATTTGATCTGACGCAATTGATATTAGAGAACAACCAGCTTATCCTGAAATACTTGGTTAGTATAAAATGCTATTTCCTAGCAATTTCTTCAGGTGATCAATGATCATCACATTTGACAGGAGTGTACAGATTTTCGAAGGAGGGGTGCATTGTTATTCTAGTTAAAGTTGCCAGGATGTTGGGCTGTTGTGGATTTTTAAGACGAAAGAGTTATTAGCTTTTTGAAATTTTTTTTTAACCTTTTTATGAATAAATAGTGTGATAGTTATACATTACTTCTTTAAGTAATCAACAAAGCGTCCTATGTATCCAAATATTGCCAACTAAGATCGAGTAAAATATGAATACAGCAAATGCTTTTATAGGCGTAGAAACAGATTTAAATTTGTTTTCCGCAGGGGGGGGGGTGTGAGGACTGAAGTTAAAGAGTGGTTGATTCGACTCTTATTGTTTTGAAGATGTAGAGTGCATTTTTACCTTTCAAATATTCTAGAGTCTTGTACAAACGAAACACTGTGTAGCGAAAGTAACAAAATGTTATATTAATAATTTGTTATTGCAGCAGTATTAAATATTTAATCTCGAATTTTTGAAAAACTCTTCTACAGTTGTATGCACACGAAAGAAACAAAGTTTGAAATTAACTCCTGTCAACTCAGTGGCACTAGCTCAAATTTCTTATAAGTGGGCGAGATAGTTTTCCACAACAAGCAAAGAAGTGCCGTGTTTATATATTTTTTCACGTGCAAACATGAATCCACGCTATCGATCTATCTCATCTTAGCTGTTGACATCTGTTGGGTGTTGTATATAATGTCTGAGCCTGCTCAGATGGTGTGCATGGTCAATTGATGCTCATGATTGCTGCTCTCAAAAATTATTTCTTTCCTACGCCCCTGTTAGTATGATAAAGATTTCGTTAGATTTTACCTCTGAATTTATTTAATTTTCTTAACTATTGCGGCATTTTAGATTTGTGAAACTATCATTGATAATCCCAAGGCAATAGCTACGTCTATGGGCATACTGTTGGAGAAACTACAAGGTTGGTTGCACTAAGTTTTCCTTATAGGCCATTTGCCAATCTTCAAAAAGTATATGGAAAACAAACTTTTTTGGACCCTCTCGGAGACTGTAGTATAGCATATTTGCATCATGAATGACAAATGTTGTCATCCAGATAGCCTGCAGTTATGGAGGAAAGTGGTTTGGTTTATAGTGACAACTTAGTCGCCATCTTGAATTTCGCCTGTTGTATAAAGGTTAACCGCAATAGACCATTGAGTTCTATGAGACCTGGAGGGAACACGTCATCGAAATTACTATAAATTATTAGCGCGCGGCCCGTGGTCAAAAACATGGCGGATTTTTGGTTGTGAATTAAGCGGAAAGACGCGGGCTCATAAAATAGAATTTTTTTCGCCCACCCGGATTTGACAACCACAATTGCGATTGTATAAATTATCAATGCCAGGCACAAACAATTTTCAGAAATTTATCTATAAAACATGCTGCAGACTTGTGTAGTATACTGATGCTGAAGTAATGCCAGAAAAGGAAACATTTCATGACACCGGTATGAAACCTAAGATTGTTTACCATTTAAAGTGTTCAGGGTTTTGTTTGTAAGTCAATACTTGAAGTTTGATGGTATATATGTTGTGAATGTTTTTACCCCTAAGTTATAATTTAAGTTATGTTTATCCAGTCTTATTTGTTCTTTACTTAATCGCTTGCTAGACGAGGCAAAGCAGCCAGTTCTTATCGAGATATGCATATCTTAAAACTCCTTGTTTCAACTGAGTTTACCTCCAAGAAATGGAAGATTTTTTCATGATATTTTCTGAAAATATGAAGCAAATATTAAGAACAGAGCTGTATTGAAATCAAATGCATTGCAGGATTAATTAATGAACTCTTTGGTACATGTCGTACAATAAAAAATACCTGTATTAAACAGCTAGCTTGCACAATTTGACAGATTATGAACAATCATGATGATGGTGTGTAAAGGTTTGCTTTATGCTAACAGTTTTATAAATGCCATCTTGTGTTTCTGTAAAAGAATTGTTATAGTAAACTGGTTAATACATCAAAACCAAGATAAAAACTACTTTGTTGGATTATGTGCCAAATTTTGCTCCTACTTTGAAATTTTTTCCCAAGAAAAGCTTATGACAACATACATGAAACATTCAAAGGCATGTCAAGTTGTTTGAACTTAGAAAAAATTAGTATAGGTAACTATAATTTGTAAGGACACAAGAGAAAAGTAGTGCAAGAAGGTTAGCATTTTTGAGAATTAATACGTTCTTCTTGACATACATTACACAAGGCCATAATATTATAAGTAATGACTGTACAATAACAACTATACAACTTGTTAAATATCTTCACCTACATTATAATTATTTAATTTCATTAATATAATTTCTTAAATTAACACTTAAATTTAAGAAATCGTATTTTCAATGGGAAATGAACGTAGTTCTGTTCCGTAGAAGATCCATGGTTGTCATAAACAATGTTTATGACAACCATGATCCAATGTTGTCCATGATCCAATGTTGTAGAAGATCCAATGTTGTCATAAACAATGTCTAGTTTCTAATATCTTTGCTCATATCAGAACCAGCAACACGATTATAGAATTTCTGAATTTCGTTCTTTTTCTCTCCTAGTTCAAGATATTTTCTTCATATGTTCTCAGTAGATTTATCAGAATATCGTTATACCTTATAAGACACACAGAGTCGATCCTACCAAAGCAACTCAAAAAAATTACATACCTACTTATAATATATTTCCAGTCGACTTAGGTCGTAGGGGTAAGCAAACTTTTTCTCACTCCTTTTTGGACATTTTTACTAAGACTTACCCATCTATTCAAGAAAGGCTTTTGCACCAAGCTGTTCACAAACAGTCAAAAATACAAGTATTGTGCCTGGGATTATGTATTAAAGCTTGACGGCACATTGACAGTGTAAAAAATGCCGTTTGATATTTCTAATATAGCTAAAGCATTACTTGACAAAATACACGTTACTTTACCGTAGACTCTTTCCTCATTTTAATGTGCGTGTCTATTTTATGCTTACGGTATCGCGGCTGTTTTCGCTGGTTGTCAGTAATATAAGCAGTAACAGAAATCCGGATTCCGGAGGGAGCGAATGTTAAAGATTTTTCTCAAGGTGGAAGTTTTGACAACCAAAATCCGCCATTACCGCCATCTTTTTGACAACCTGGTCCAGGCCTCTTTTCCCCTCCAGGTCTTATATAATTCAACTGAGCTATGAAGTCACACAGTGGAGAGCAGGTCAATATGTTGGGCTGATGTTTTCCCGCGAAAGGAATGTCATATGCAAGAATGTTATATGCAGTGCGGTGTTTGAAATTAAATGTAGATATGATCTTCGCATTGTATATAACATTCTTGCATGTGACATTCCTTTCACGGAAAACATCAGCCCAACATATTGACCTGCTCTCCACTGTGTGACTTCATAGCTCAGTTGGTTAGAGCACTGTACCGGCATCGCAGAGGTCATGGGTTCGAATCGCGTTGAGTCACCTGAATTTTTCAGGTTCTTGAGACAATTGCTTAAATTGTCCAGCAAAGTGCGAAGATCATATCTACATTTAATTTCAAACACCGCACTGCATATAACATTCTTGCATATGACATTCCTTTCACGGGAAAACATCAGCCCAACATATTGACCTGCTCTCTACTATGTGAATTCATAGCTCAGTTGGTTAGAGCACTGTACCGGCATCGCAGAGGTCATGGGTTCGAATCGCGTTGAGTCACCTGAATTTTTCAGGCTCTTGAGACAATTGCTTAAATTGTCCAGCAAAGTGCGAAGATCATATCTACATTTAATTTCAAACACCGCACTGCATATAACATTCTTGCTAGACTGTTTCGTAATGTATCCGATCAAGTTTTATAAGATAGAGAAACAAACACACAGCGATCATTTTAAGCATATATTTGAGTGATATCGATGAGAAGTCGCGAACTCATTCACCGATAAATGTTTTCATAAAACGGTCACTTGTTTAAATTCATTGTTTTATTCCTAGAAATATTGTGCTATGATAGTATTTGCCTCTCGAATGATTTCCTGTAACTGAAGAAAACATTCTCAGTGCAGCTGAGGTGTAGCGCTGGAAAGAATCGAAGCAATTACATTCGTATTATTGATCCATCTATATCATGGAGTAAACATTAATCTTTGTATGATCCAGTGTGTTTGTTTAGTGTTTATTGCGAAGATTTTTTGCGTTTGTTGGTAATGAATCATGAAATAATCTGTCAGTTTAAATTCAGTATAATCAAATGTATAATAGTGTTTGCTATTTCAAAATTTAACGAATATATTAAACATTTTATATGGTCACTGCATTTTAGAACATAATGAAAGTGAAAGTACAAAAATTTCCTCATATTCACATTATACTGCTTGGAACATTACTGTACTGCCTATTGAAAAGATCATGCATGAATCATGTTCAAATTAAGCTGTCAAATCAACCAGTAAAATTGATTAAATGTTCTGTTTTATTTACGTGATACACCAATCAAGTTCAACAAGCTAGATGTTAACATAACACAATATTTTCGGCAATAAAATGATGAAATTGACCAAGTGAGCATATTACACAAACTGTTATCTGCGGATAATTTCCAGGCTTGTCAACGAGTTCACTCAAATATGTCCTCAAAATTATTGCTGCTGTATGTTTGTCTTTATAATAAAACTTGATTGCATGATTTTCGAAACAATATACAGGTAAAAACCATAAAAAATCTCATTTTTGCAATACAATCTATAGTGTGTTTGCTCGTGACGTCACAGCTTTTCTGTCCGCCATTGTGGGGGAGCAGTGAAATCATTGAGTTTTATTATAACTGGAGCGGCTATCTCAAGCGTGTCCTTAAATATCGGAGGCTGTCGAAAAAATGGCAGATTTGTTCCACTACCGCTGAGATTTACTGAAAAATACTGCTTTTCTGAAAATTTCAACATTTTTCACTCCCCCCTGAAGAAAAAGCGAGGAATATATCTGTGTGTATTTGGCATTAGGCAAGCAATTTTATGATGAAAATCATGATAAAACCCTAAATTTCCTAACAGCGAGTCAACTTTGGTTGTTAGTTATCGGCTTCTACGAGGATGTTTTCTATTACTATCGATTTACTATCGATTTACTGTCGAAGGAGCTATTTGTAGGCTACATATGAATGCAGATGTACGTCGTTTTTTTTACCAGCGTCAAACTTGTTGGCTCAATGCCACTGCTCGATACTCTCTAGTCTACACAAAAAAATATGCCATTGTTTATCTCAACGTTTCACGATCGAGACAAAAGTTATCTTATTCGTTGTCATTCCATGTGCTTTTTTTCATGCATTGGGCAATGGCTTTTTTCGCCATAATTCCAGGATTTGTGTACTTGTTGCTTTATAAAAATAAATAATAAATCTTTTTTGGTATTTACGGCGTGACTTATTGTATATGATTTTCTGTAATTGAATTTCATATTACATTTTGTTGGCTACAAATCAATGCTGACGCGCGACGCAGCGAAGTAAACATTCAAACTTGTTTGCCCGATTAAACTTAACGGTTTATTTCAAAGAAAAAGTATATCGTGGTTTGTCTATATAGTTGCCGTGAAAAGTGCTAGCTCATTCTGGGTCATTCATTGTCATTACTTTTTTGCTTTGTTTCATGTAATGGCGTTTTTCGCCACAATTGTATGATTTGTATTTGTTCATGCATGCCACTATGTATAAATGAATAAATGGTTAGAAAGTTACTGCTTTACTCTATGATCTATGATTTTGTGTGGTTCGTTTTCATATAACTCTCGAGAAGACTCAAGTTAGCATAAGAGATGATGGGTGGTAAATGTAATTGATAAATTAAAATAAACATTGTATGCAAATCATCCAGTAACCTTTACGATTTTTATGGTCTCCTGAACTGGAAATGCCTCAAAAACTTGTAAAATTGCTGCACATTTTGATTTTGTTGT